GGGGTAGGACTGGATAAGTCTGACTTCTTCCTACTCCGTTCAAGCATGTACTAGGTATAAGCAAATTGATAATGGATTAGCATTTGTGGATATGTGTGAAATTATGTGTGTTGACATATCGACTGTCTTTACATGCTTGAAAGAATAAAATCAATCAATCAATCAAAATGTCACTGACGTTTTAACTTTGTTATATTTCCTCCATGAAACTGTAAGCAATGATAAATATTGTGTACTTTGTCACCATAACTGAGTCTGACTGTAGGAGGAAGACTGTAAACAGATTATGGGCTCCACATGACACTAATTTAAAAGTTATATTTACTTAATGGAAACAATAAAATATGATCCCATAATTATAAAAACATATAAAGTCAAAATTATGAGATGATAATTTAATTTCTAAAGTCCTAACTTTCTATAGCTTTCTGATTTTCCCGGTAGGAACAGTGTTTAATAAAGCAAAACAGCAATAGTAGCCTAAAAAAATCTAAACTTAGATAAGGGAGCAAATGCTGTATGATAAAAATGTGAATAAACATGTTTTTCTATTTTGCTCAAAATATTGTAAACAAATAAACAACCAAAAAAGGTGGTGATGGTAGGGTCGATACCTAAAGTATTAATAATACTGATACAAAGCCTTGCTTTGAGTGTCAATACTAGTGTCAGAAGGACCAGTACAATAATTATGGCTCCCTCACATGTTCAGTCACATCCTTGGTGTATGAAGACATTTCTTAGTACTTCCATAATGGCATCTCTGCTACTTTTGTGTGCATGTATCAGGTGAAGACCTCTACAGTTTGTAGAATTCAATGAACTATGTTGTGTTATACCGACTATACTGTTATTATATTAGTGAGCATAGATTGAATGACAAAAACGTCTCTCTTGTACCAAGTAATACAGTTCAACAATCTCCAAAATGACCGTACAGTGGAATCACTTGTCTTAAACAAAAACAAAAAAAGCTGAACATTACCACCTTCAAGAAGGTACCATTTATTGCAGGACCTTTGGATTAGACTACATTTGTTTTAACAAGGTGTACCTAGCCTAATAAACTTAATAAATGAGCCTACCTCTGTGCAGACCATAGACAGGCTAATGTTGCAGACAAAAACGAGTTTTCCTGCCCCCTAGTGGCCATACACCATAAATATTTTGCTTCAAGACTAAAGGCATGGACGTATTATAAGAGCCGGATAGTGGATGACAAGATGGCATCCACTCTCCTCACTGAAATTTGCTCGCCTGGGCCATATGGTCTATGAAGAACTGCTTACTGGCTTTTTGAGCCCCAGGGAATTATTCGTTGCAGTACCGGGAGTGGCCACTGGTAAAAATAAGGTCATTACGACCGAACCAAAAGGTGGCGGTAATAGCCCTGCTAACCTCCAGTCAGAAACGCTAGACTCGGAAGATGAAATCCAGTCCGGAGTTTGCGGCTCACTCGGCATTTCTTATGTTTCGTTGCACTGTCTGCGTATTGTTGTCAGGCAGAAAGATACACTAACCAGGGTGGCGTGTGTCTTGAGAGTCAGGCTCCCTACGACGTCCGGACGCACACATTAGCTGTTTATTTTGTTGTCTGTCCACAATAAGTTTGCTGTTATTGATTTATTTGCGCCGATTTGCAATAATGTCGGTGGGAGTGGAGTCTGGATTTTCGAGTGAGGAGGTCTTAAACAGCCGTTTCCCTCTCCATCGGGCATGCAGGGATGGAGATGTCGGTGCCTTGTGCTCCCTCCTTCAAAGCACCTCAAACCCGGCTGGCCTCACGGTGGAGGACACCTTCTACGGCTGGACGCCCATACATTGGGCCGCTCATTTTGGACAGGTATCTCACTACGTGTTGGACGGACCGGGATTGTCTTAATGAACATGCTAGTGATACGGTGTCCAGAATGAGTGTCGTTAGCGCCCTCCGACATTAGCCTCGTTTCGGCCATTTCCTTGTGTTTGCCTTAACTGCTAACGTTAGCGGATAGGACTACGAAGCACTCATTAACCGAAGGCAGACAATGGGCCATTAAGGTTAAATCAGCGCAGCTCTTTAGTTTTCTTTTTTTTAATTAAAACTCACTAGTATGTATGACATTTTAGGCACATTTTGTTTACATAAGCAAGGTTAGCGAGCAAAGGCCAAATGGTGAGCGGGAAAATGTTAACTTTAACAGTAACTCAGTGGTTGAAGGAGACCTGCAGTATTACCAGAAACGTAAATATTAGCCAGCTAGCTTAGCTTAGCTTGCGCTCATTCGTTAACGTAAACATAACCTTACATATATGTGGAAACAGGTATATCTAACTACAAACGGTAGCTATTAATGGTTGGTGATTAATCTGTAATTCACTTTTCTAGTCATTTTTTTCTAAAGCTATATATTTTAAAGGAACTTCCAAGTCAGGTTTCAACGTTAGTGACTCATTTCTAACGAACTGTTTATTAACCGTTCCTAAACCTGCACATACTAAGATTTGTTTCACAGTAGCTACACCTTGGAAAGCTGAGGCCTTCAGTTTGCACGGAAATGGGAAGACAGTTTTTAAGTGTTGGAATTTTGCCTCTAGCCATGTACTTTACTAAACGTGCCTGTAGCTGCCCAGTGCCAAAGATAAGACTTTATTAATACCAAACTGACAAATTCAGGCATGTGCAGTAAGTGAATCACTGCACGTCTGATTCTCTGTGCATTGTCCTTGTCTCTTCACAGCTGGAGTGTGTGATGAGTTTGGTTCAGGTGGGCTGTGGAGTGAACGCGATGACCTCCAGGTTTGCACAGACGCCCACTCACATTGCTGCATTTGGGGGCCACCCTGAGTGCTTGTTATGGCTACTCCAAGCTGGTGCAGACATTAACAGACAGGTAAAAGCTCAGATGCACACTCAACATATGCCTGTACACTGTACACCAGAGAATTAAAAAGTTCTGTTTGCTGCTTTGAAAATTACCCAACAAGTCAAATACCTTCACAGGAATTTTTCTTGACATTTCTTGGAGAGACTTGTAAATGTCTTCTTTCATAAAGTATCCTGACACATTATAAAGGGACTGTACAATACATGTTTAAGCAGTTAACAACAGATCACTTTCACTGTAACAAAATTTAGATGTGTACAGACACATGTATCATGTGTGGGTAAAAATAGCAGACTGTTGTGAGAGGCTGGGCTTAGACTGATCCCATGAAGGGCGATCATTCTAACTTGGGGTCACAATCTTTGCAGTGTAATATTGGTTCATACTCCTTCGCTCAGCCTTTATTCAGAAGAAGTGTGTCCGTCACATTTTTATGATGGCGGATTTGCTCTGAGACTGTGTTTTGCTACCACTACTTTTCAATACCTTTTCTCTTCATATATGCTCATGCACAGACTCAGGCTCCGGGCCAAGGTTTAATCCTCCGCTGCACTACTGAGGAAATCAGATTTGTAGGTCAGGATGACATCAGGTGCTGTCTTGAAATGCATTACTAATAACTGGTTTTGAATTTACTCAGCATCTTTTGAAACACTTCTAGGATTTGTGACCTCCACTCTCGGATGAGTAATAGTTTGACCTGGATGTTGTTGTTCAGTAGAAGAGTATAGTGTCTGAGCACAGCCCACATAGCATTGTTGTTAGAGACAACCTTCTTCCCCCAGCTTCTGCACTATTACTAATGTGTAACTGTAAATGTATGTGGGTGGAGGCACAGGTTCAGCCCTGCAGAGTTACACCCTGTTATTGTTCCTTGAAAATGTGTAGCTGATAAGAAATGTATTTGTGTATATATTTAGTATCTGAAACAGAAGTGTTGGGCTCTTACTGCTGTTCTTGTGTACAGTACAGTCATGCTTTTTGGTGTGTGTAACTGCAGTCTTTTGTCATCGCTCAGGACTATGTGGGTGAGACGCCCATCCACAAGGCTGCTCGTGCGGGCAGTCTGGAATGTGTCAACGCTCTCTTGACTCAGGGAGCGAAAGCTGAGTAAGTCGTGGGATCAGTCTTGTGTCCTCATTTCTTTTTTCTCTCTACTGTCCAACATCTCAGTTACACCTTTACAAGGGATCACCACCAAAACACAAATCAGAGCAGTGAAGAAGTTTATAAGCAGATTACGCAATATTGCAGATAAGATAGTTGGAGAATCTGCAAATTAGCATATTTGACTAACAATGAACAAGATTTATCAAATATCAATTTGTGAAAATTTCAAGTAATTTTGAATATTGCATTTTTGATGCTATGTTTTGTACATACCCACTCAGAAGGAAGCTGCTCTAGTAAATGGTAACTTAACCATAAATTTACAGTACAATATACAGTATACACTTTATATATTGGTGCAGAGAATGCTGGTGATAACGTGAAAACTTAAGCATACATACGGTATATTTCTACAGATGGTCGAACTGAGTGTAGAATTACTCTTTTATAGATCCATATAATAAAACACCACCATTGTTTTCTACTGTGTGTTCATTCTGATGGTAAAATTGCAAA